TTAGGGACTAAGTGTCCCAAATCACTCTGAATCATCCGGTAACTGAATTCAACCATGCACGCAAGTCAATACACATAATATGAAGCTGCTCAGGGCCTTATGACGCCGAACGAGACTTAAGTTCTCAAAACGACCGGCCGGGTCATTACAAACAACTATAACATGACAGAAACCTCGTACATCACCACAACAAGTGCAAAAGCATCAATGACAAAGATACAAGGTACGGCAAGCAAATCAACTCAAGAACTTAAATCACAAGAACGGTAGAACTCATTCACAAGGAATAACCATAATGAAGAATTCTAGGCACAAGGAGAACAAATTAACAAGGAAAAACAAAACCAAATATAGAAACGATCCCACAATATTCAAGTCAATGATAAGAAATCAACACGAGTCAAATAGTTCCAAATAATGGCAAGTCAACTAAGATATAGGTTATCTAAACTCCTTTTGAGGTTGAGCAATGACAAGGAATATTCAACAATTCAAGTAAGGATAAGCAACGGAAGATAATCATAACTCCAATTAAGACTAAACAATTATAGGATGAGAAAATAATGATTTCAATTAAAGATAAGCAGTTATGAAAAAATATAGCACGACGATAAAAGAGGTAAAATCTTTGGTTACGTCGAATAAGGGTCAAATAGGCAGTAAGAGTAAATCCTAAAGCAATTGTCTCTAATCAAAGCATGTAAAGGTGAAACTAGCAAATAGGAATTTAAGAGTATCAAGAACAACATCATACACGGTGAATATAAGAACATAAGAACCTTAAAAGGCCAACTTTCCACAAATAAGTCTGAGCACACACTCGCCACCTCACGTACACAGACTACAATCAGCATAGATGACTCAAATCCTAAGGGGAAAATCCCCCACATAAGGTTAGGCAAGATACTTACCTCAAAATGCGCTCAATCAGTCAAGTAGTATGCGCTTTCCTTGCTTTTCTGACTCCGATCGGTTCGAATACCATTGTTTCCTCTGAAAATCTCCCAAATATCGCCTCATCCCGAGCTCCAATCCGTCAAAAATGGAAAATGGGATGAAGTCCAATTTTCTGAACTTAAACTCACTGCCCAGGCTTTTCTTCTTCGCGTTCGCGTGACCAGTGTCGCGTTTGCGAAGTCCTGACCATGCACAACATCGCGTTCGCATTCGAGCTATCGCGTTCGCGGTAGTCAACTGCCCTCCTTCTTCGCGTTCGCAGTCCATGCGTCGCGTTCGCGAAGGGTTAATGGCTCAAGGTCCCGGCTCCCCTTCCTTCTTCGCGTTCGCGACCACTGCGTCGCATTCGCGTAAGCTTGACCAGACCTTGCCTCGCGTTCGCGTCCACTCCTTCACGTTCGTGAAGGTCAAATCCAGCACCCCCAAAATTTCTTCTTCGCGAACACGGGACTTTCTTCGCGTTCGCGAAGAAGGAAACCAGACACCAGAATTAGCAGTTCCAAAATAGCTCCAAATAATTCGAAATCACCCCGAAATACACCCGAGGCCCCCAGAACCTCAACCAATCGTACCAACCAGTCCCATAACACATTACGAACTTTCTTGAGGTCTCAAATCGCATTGAACAACATCAAAACGATGAATCACACTTCAAATCAAAAATCCATGAACTTTGAACTTTAAAGTTCTATATCTTGTGCCGAAACACATCAAATCAATTCGGAATGACTTCAAATTTTGCACACAAGTCATAAATGACATAACGGACCTATTCAAATTTCCAGAATCAGATTCCGACCTCGATATCAAAAAGTGAACCCCCCGGTCAAACTTCCCAAAAATTCAATTTTCGGCATTTCAAGCTTAATTCCACTATGGACCTCTAAATAATTTTCCGGACACGCTCCTAAGTCCAAAATCACCATACGGAGCTATTGACAAAATTTTATTTCGGAGTCGTTTGCTCATAAGTCAACTCTCCGGTCAACTCTTTCCATTTAAGCTTCAAATTAAGGATTGTTCTTTTAATTTAATTCCTAATTTTTAGTAAATCAAACTCGACCACACCCGCGGGTCATAATACATATTGCGAGGCTGCTCAAGACCTTAAGTCACTAAACGGTGCGTAAATTCTTAAAATGACAAGTCGGGTCGTTACAGCGACTTGGGAGACCGAGCATGATATACACAGCCGTTATCCACACTTATTCACCAGCTCAGGTACTTTTTCTAACTCCGTTCGAAGACGAACGTTTGTTTTAGAAGTGGAGAATGTGATGACCCAAAATGTTATTTTTAAATTTAATAATTAATTTTATGTTCTAATACCTCAAAAAATACTATTTATCATTCCTCGACTTACGTGCACAGTCCGTAAAATTTTCTGAAAAGTTTTCAGGTGAAAAAATGGATTAAAATGTGAATTAGAGCTTTAAAACTCAACTGAGTTGACTTTGGTCAACATTTTGAGCAAATGGACTCAGATCAGTGTTTTGATAGTTCTGGCAGGTCCGTATCATGATTTGGGACTTAGGCGTATGTCCGGAATCAAATTCCGAGGTCCCTAGCCTGAGATATGGAATTTTGATGAAAAATTAAAAGTTTAAGTTCAAATAGTGACCGGATATCAAATTATGTGCAAACCACCCTGGAATAGAATTTTGATGATTCTAACAGCTCTGTATGGTAATTTTGGACTTAGGAGCGTGATTGGAATTTTATTTGGAAGTCCGTAGTAGAATTAGGCTTGAAATGCCAAAAGTTGAATTTTTGGGAAGTTTGACGGGGGGTTGACTTTTTGATATCGAGGTCGGAATCCGATTCTGGAAATTGGAATAGGTCTGTAATGTCATTTATGACTTGTGTGCAAAATTTGAAATCATTCCGAATTGATTTGATGTATTTCGGCACAAGATATAGACTTTGAAAGTTCAAAATTCATAGATTTTGATTTGAGGTGCGATTCCTCGTTTTGTTATTGTTTGATGTGGTTTGACGCCTCGAATAAGTTCGTATTGTATTTTGGGACATGTTGGTATAATTGGTTAAGGTCCCGAGGGTCTCGGGTAGATTTCGAAAGGTAAACGGAATGGATTTCGGACAAAGAAGGCTGCTGGAAATTTCTGTTGTAGAAATTTCGCCAGAAATTTCTGGTGCGTAGAGCCAAATTTGGAAGCTTATATATCGCAATCTATAAGGAATCAGAAAATTTTTAAAACATTAAAATTGTAGATGATTCTAGTTTCCAGAAAGTTAAACCATTCATTATTTGGACATTTGTACAAAAAGTTATGATGCTTGAATGAAGGCTAGTAGAGCAGTTTCGCCAGAAATTTCTGATGTGTGGAGCCGACTTTGGAAGCTTATATCTCGAAATTCAGTAAAAAGCAGAATTGTCAAAACATTAAAGTTGTAGTCGTTTGATTCTAGTTTCCAGAAAGTTAAACCATTCATTATTTGAACATTTGTACATAAAGTTATGATCGATTGAAGGAAGGCTGGTAGAGCAGTTTCTGGTGGACTTTTAGTGACGAAAAATGGATTTTTAGTGACGTATTGGCAGAAACTTAAGGACCAAAAATGGTCATTTCATTCATTTCGTTTTGGATTTTTGGAGCACAGTTCTTGGGCGATTTTTGGGCGATTTTCACGGGAAACTATTGGGGTAAGTGTTCCTTATCCTATATTGATTATATTTCATGATTCTATACTCATTTACATCATGAATCCGTGAATTTATGGAAGAAAAATCAAGATTTTTGCAAAATCTTCCAAAACCGAAAATTTAAGATTTGGAGGTCGAGTTGTTATCGGATTTTGGTAAAATTGGTATGGGTGGACTCGTAATTGAATGAGTTGTCGGATTTTGTAAGTTTCTTTGAATTCCGAGATGTGGGCCCCAACGGTAAATTTTGAGCTAATTTCGGATTTTATTGAAAATATAATATTTTCTTATGAAATTGATTACTATAATTTATGTTGACTGTATCGAATTAATTATGACTAGATACGAGTAGATCGGAGTCAAAAAATCGAGAAAAAAGCATAATACTTGGTTAAATTGGAGCAAGTCGAGGTAAGTGACTTGTCTAACCTTGTGTTGGAGAAATTCCCCCTAGGATTGATAATTGTAATATGTGAAAAGTCGTGTACATGAGGTGACGAGTGTGTACACGGGCTAAATGTGAAAGATTATATTTAAATTGTGTAGATCACTATTGCGCATTAATTAAATTATTTTATTTTGTCATATTCTTCATTATTGATTTAATGTTTATATTTTAAATTTGCTTGACCTTTTCCTACTANGTGAAACCCGCTCTCACAATATATTCACATTCAATTCTGTTGCAGGGTGCAACCCGCTCTCACAATATATTTATTTTAATCAAGTTTGTTGTGGCGTGCAACCCGATCCTTCAATAGTGACTTTTAATAAGTCTGTTGCGGCGTGCAACCCGATCCTCCAATATTGACTTTTAATAAGTCTGTTGCGGCGTGTAACCCGATCCTACAATATGGACTTTTTAATAAGTATGTTGCGGCGTGCAACCCGATCCTCCAATATGGACTTTTTAATAAGTCTGTCAATGATCCATTAAGCGGGTGAGCACCTCCACTCGGTCACTTCCCCTTGGTCGTTCATAAAGTTGGGAATGGATATCATCAGCCCCCTCCCTGCGGGGCGAGGTAACGTAAGATTTCTTTTGGTTTTAACTGACTATTTTTCTTAATGGGTAGAAGCAGGAGCATTCGCCCAGATACGCGAACAGGAAGTGATCGCCTTCATATGAAAAAATATTGTGTGCCGCTTCGGCCTCCCCAAAAAAGATCAATTGCGACAACGGACTTCAATTTACTGGAAAAAAAGGTCGCCAAATTGTAAGGGTAAGTTTGAGCCCAAAAACTAACGTTAAGGGCATTTATGGCCCAATAGATGAAAGGAGGGCAAAATTGAGCCATTTTTAATACCTTAGGGGTATTTTTGGCCTTTTTTCCGTTCATTTATTAATTTAGCCTATTTTGACCTGTCTGAATTCAGCTCAACTCGTCCATTTGACACCCCTAGATAATAACAAGCTATTTAGAGAATTGATACTAACTTGCAGACACTTCTTCAATTGTATCCCTCTTAATGATCTACAAGTTTTCACCATAGCCTGAATGCCATCTGTTGTCACTCTTTCACAAAAATCCAAGTTTAATTTCAATAGGCGAGAACATCTGCTCCCAATCACGGCCAGGCCTTCGTCGTTTATTACTGAACCAACTGCACTTACTACCTCAACATTAGGTAATTCTGAACCTTCTCCGATATGTTTAATCAATGGACATTTCTCAAACTGCAAGTTCCTTATCTGATTGCATACCTCAAGAATTGAAGCAATACCTGCCTCTGTAAGACTTAGACATGAGGACACATCAAGAATCTCCATATTGGGGCACGTTAAAGCAACTTTTGTGAGAGCGTCATCATCCATATACGAATTATCTTGGGTTCTTCACACCATTATGAAAAGGATCCTTCGTCCCCAAACCAGTATTTCCCATGTTAATTGCTTATAGTAAAGGACAATTTCTTGCAAGTGTGAAGAACGTCGAAATGGTCAATCTCTTACAACCACTGACATCAATGGTAACTAGACTCTGTAGATATTTGGATAAATCATTCATAGACTCATCGCTCAAGAAATTTACTTGAACTAGAGTTAAGTACTTTAGTGATTGGTATGCACACAGAAGCAAAGAGATACCAGATAATGTGAAATTTATGCACCAACAAATTGAAATCCTGGATAGAGGGAGAGAAGACATGGCCATCAACAAGTGGAATTCATCTGAAATCATCGAACTGGTAACATTCAACGTCTGCAAAGCTCGGCGACAAGTAGCTAAACATTCAAAACCAGAGTTTGATCGAGGAAAGTGAATCTCGGACACTGAAATCCAACTCAAAGCAGTACAACTACGTAGTATAGAAAGGACACCTTTTGAAGTTATCAGAGGGCAATCCTCAACCTCAATGCCTTGTAAATTCAAACAATTCTTAGACAGAGCAACAAGGGACCTATCAGTATAGGTCAAAATATGCCTCAATGGGATTTAGCATGGAGTAGTATTATGGAAAGTGATGTAGCCGAGGTCGACTGGTGGACAGCGGGGCTCGTAGCCGGGCGGTCAATAACGGCCGAAGTCAAGTATCAAGGACGGCACTAACGGCTAGTTTTTGTAATAGGATATTTAAGGGAATACTCCATTGAATATTCTATGTACTGATACTTTTAGGTTTGACTGGGATATGTCCTATATAAAGTGAAAAAGAGATAAGGGGAAAGGGCAGGTAATATTTTTCTTTCTAATAAGAGCACTTTTACACTCTCTCTAGAAAAAATACAAAAACTACATTTCTAATAAGATTCTACCATCCATTATTCCAGACTTTTCCATTAGATCTGAAAATAGTTCCAATATTCTAGGATTTGTTTGTCACTCATCGCTGTCAGAAAGAAGAATCATCCACCTCATTCGATATTAGGTGAATCATTCTCCTTATTTACGTTAATGATATTTTTGTTATTTATTGCTTGATATTCTTCCATCATTACCCCTCTTGAAATATTAAATGTACACTGCATTTAACCCCTCACCAACGCTATCCTGCGTTGCTTGTGTTAGCTAGTTATAAATCCAGGGATATTAATATCAACTAGGCTTAATCCCTCATTACATAAAATTAATTAGTTTAATCGAAGATTTATACTTTTTAGTCAAATAATTTGGCGCCGTCTGTGGGGAATTCCTAGTTAAATTTTTAGTTTCTCCTAGATCTATAACTAGCATAGTTTACAAAAGAAAAAAGAAAGAGAGCAAAGTTTCTTTTTCCTTGTACACACGGATCTGACATGGCAGATAATGGAGAAGAAAAGACGAAGGCAGTGGCCGATCTCACCACCAATCACTTGAACACCATTAATGAGGTTTCTAAAACAAAAGGCGAGGATATAACGCCCAACGCCTCCCCCAGGCGAGTTGGGTCGCCCCTCCCTTACGGCAGTATCACAAAATCCCGCGGTAAAGGAGCTTCCACGTCAACGACGGAAGAGGCGCCACCAGTAGTAAAAAAAACTACTCGAGGCTTGGCTAACAAACACGCTAACCAGCACCCTCAACAAACCCGCCTAGGAGGCAGCTAGAGAAAACGCAAGGACTAACATTACACTGACAGCGGCCGAGCAGCACGACCCTCTCCCTCCAGTAATAGGTATCACTCACAATGTTAATAATGCAAGTGACAACACCCTCACAGCCATTCTGAGGAAGATGGAAGAAATAGAAAATGAGAACAAAATGCATCAGGACCAAATGAGAGAGCACCAAGAAAGAGTCAACAAATTACCGGATGCCCCAAAACTCTTGCCAAAAAGAGATTCTGGTCGGTTCGTTGAGTCCCCATACAGTGATGAAGCCACCCCAAAAATCATGTGACTCACTATGTCACTGCGGTAAAAGGCAATGATCTCGCCAAAGAACAAGTATCCTCCATCTTGTTGAAAAAGTTCGGCAAGACCCTCACTGGAGGAGCATTAACTTGGTATTCACAACTACCAGCACGTTCCATCGAAACGTTCGAAGAGATGGCCAACAAGTTCGTAACGGCCCATGATGGGGCCAAAAAGGCGGAGGCAAGAGTGCACGATATATTTTCCATCAAACAATCGTCAGGAGAGGGATTGAGGGACTTCATCGCTCAATTCAACCGAGTAAGGATGACCTTACCGAATGTATCAAAAGGAATGGCTGTAGCAGCTTTCCAAAACGGGCTGAACAGGAATGGCTCAAGGGCAACCAGAAAATTATTAAGTCAGCTTATGAAATATCCTCTAACAACTTGGGATAAAATACACAATGCCTACTGTGTCGGGGTCCGTGCAGACGAAGATGACCTGAATGGGCCAACTCATCAGTTGACCTCTGTGCAGGCCGAATCCAGGAAAGAACGAATAAATGATGCAAGGAGGGATCTTGCAGCTCTACGACCCAACCGAGAAAGGCATCAACCATACATCAGAAGCGCCATCATGCCCCCTCCCGCCACGAAGAGGGCCTCACTGGAACGAGAGAGATATGCCCCCTTTATTATCCGCTCACAATTTTTGTGTGTCACCCTTAGAAATAGTCTACGCATTGGAGAAGCTAGGACCAAAAGTAAAGTGGCCATAAAAGATGAGGTCAGACCCAAGCACCAGAAAGTCAAACGCCATTTGCGAGTTCCACTAAGAGCGAGGTCACAAAACTGAGGATTGCATCGCCCCAAGGCAGGAGGTCGTAAACATGCTTCACCAAGGTCACCTCAAAGAATTGCTAAGCGACCGAGGAAAGACCAACTTTTCCCGAGGACATGAACTACACCAGGGACCGCTGAAACCACCCTCACTGACTCTCACCATTCAAATGATCATCAGAGGCGGCGGCGACACTTCGATCAACAACGTAAAGTTCACCACAACCCACAAGCTCAAACGGTCGATCACTCACGAACGGTATGACGAACTCGAAGAAAGTATCATCTTTGATAAGTCAGATACCCACAGTTTGGTTTTCCCTCACTATGATGCCCTTTTATCATTTTACGAATATTAGATACAGAAGTAAGACGCATTATGGTGGACGTTGGGAGCGGCGCGTACATTATCCATCCTCGAGTACTTGCACAAATGAAACTCAAGGATAAGATAGTGTCGTGTTGTATCACGCTAACAGGATTTAACAATGCAGTTGAACGAACGTCTGGAGAAATCACACTCCCCGTCCTAGCCGTCGGTGTCACTCTTGAAATCACATTCCACATCATGGACCAGGATACGACATACAACGCCATAATATGCCGACCGTGGATACATGCCATGAGAGTCATCCCCTCCAGCTTGTACCAAGTTATCAAATTTCCAACCCCATAGGGAATATTCAGCATACGAGAAGAACAACGCACATCTAGAGAATGCTACCGCATCGCCTTGGATTGTACGACCACCCAATAAATGAAGGGCAAAACAAAATAGGCATAGCAATTAACAAGGTCGAGGTCGAGCTGTGATGAAAGAGAGGACGTCATCAGAGATCCCGAATGTGATGACCAAAAATGTTATCTTTAAATTTAATAATTTATTATGTGTTCTAAGACCTCAAAAAGCACTATTTATCATTCCTCGACTTGCGTGCGCAGTCCGTAAAATTTTTCGAAAATTTTTCAGGTGAAAAATGAATTAAAATGTGAATTAGAGTTTTAAAACTCAACTGAGTTGACTTTGGTCAATATTTTTAGCAAACAAACTCGGATCAGTGTTTTGATAGTTTTGGTAGGTCTGTATCGTGATTTGGGACTTAGGCGTATGCCCGGAATCAAATTCTGAGGTCTCTAGCCCAAGATATAGAATTTTGATGAAAAATTTAAAGTTTAAGTTCAAATAGTGACCGGATGTCGAATTATGTGCAAATGACCCCAGAATAGAATTTTGATGATTCCAACAGTTTCGTATGGTGATTTTGGACTTAGGAGTGTGATCGTAATTTTATTTGGAAGTCCGTAGTGGAATTAGGCTTGAAATAAGAAAGTTGAATTTTTGGAAAGTTTGACCGAGGGGTTGACTTTTTGATATCGGTGTCGAAATCCGATTCTGAAAATTTTTATAGCTCAGTTATTTTATTTATGACTTGTGTGCAAAAATTGAAGTCATTCCGAATTGATTTGATGTGTTTCGACACAAGATATAAAATTTGAAAGTTCAAAGTTCATTGATTTTGGTTTGAGGTGCGATTTGTCGTTTTGATGTTGTTTGATGTAGTTTGAAGCCTCGACTAAGTTCGTATGGTATTTTTGGACATGTTGGAATAATTGGTTAAGGTCCCGAGGGTCTCGGGTAGATTTCGGAAGGTAAACGGAATGGATTTCGGACAAAGAGTGCTGGAAATTTCTGTTGCAGAAATTTCGTGCGTGGAGCCAACTTTGAATGTTTATATCTCGCTATTCATAAGGAATCAGAACATTTTCAAAACATGAAAGTTGTAGTCATTTGATTATAGTTTCCAGAAAGTTAAACCATTTATTATTTGAACATTTGTACAGAAAGTTATGACGGATTGAATGAAGGCTAGTAGAGCAGTTTCGCCAAAAATTCTGATGCATGGAGCCGGCTTTGGGAGCTTATATCTCGCAATTCATAAGGAATCAGAAAAGTTGCAAAACATGAAAGTTGTAGTCGTTGGATTCTAGTTTTCAGAAAGTTAAACATTCATTATTCGGACATTTGTACAAAAAGTTATGACGGATTGAATGAAAGCTAGTAGAGTAGTTTCGCCAGAAATTCTGATGCATGGAGCCGACTTTGGGAGCTTATATCTCGCAATTCATAAGGAATCAGAAAAGTTGCAAAACATAAAAGTTGTAGTCGTTGGATTCTAGTTTCAGAAAATTAAACCATGC